ACTTTCTTTTTGTGTAGGCTAAGCCTGAAGCTGGTGAATGGAAAAACGGGCCGATTAGAAATTATGATAAGCTAACTGAGCTATATGGAAGGGATAGAGCTACTGGAAAGCAAGCTGAGACTGGAGCAGATATGGTAAGAAGGGGTGCTCGTAATAATTTGAGAAAATCAAGTGATAGTTCATTGACCATTGATGAGGTAGATGAACTAATTTTCATGAATGCTGCCTCCTTGGAAAATATCGAGGAACATGGACAACATGAGCAATATCAATCAACTCAGGAAGCACGTAAATCTAATGCATATTCAGAGGTACCGACTTCTAGCAGGAATAAAAAAATCTAAACAAGATCACCTTGAAGGCATGGCTGATATGTTGAGAGATGGGATGAATAATTTGGCTAATGCAATTAATCGCCTTTCAACTATGCCACCTATTCCTGAGAGTGAGATATGGCAAATAGTACAAGTGTTGGATTTAGAGCCTAGTATGCACATGAAAGCTTATATATTTCTTGCAAACATGCAGACTTGTGCCGCACACTGATTGGGTGTCCATTGGAAGACCGCAAATTTCTTTTACTGATCTTGATATCGTCACCAGGCGATTGAGTTAGACTAATGTTATTTATGCTTTAGCTATTGAGGATTTTATAGACTTTGACTAGATCGATATGAATTTTATATGTCATGTTGCTAGAAAATTTTATTATATTATGCACTTTAAATTATGGATTATTTACCACATTAAAGGTCAGGAACTCAAGGTCCGTTGTCTATTCTGTTTTGATGGGGCTGTGAATTTTTTGTTTGTTTGTATGAAACCAATTTAGGGCTTTCTCTATTATAGTAGAATGATGATTCCCTATGAGTAAGATGGGGAGGTCAAAATAAATAAATTATTTTTATGAGTAATTCTTAATAAGCATTATATTTAAAATAATTGAGGGTATTTTAGTAAACTTAGCAGTACAGTACAGTACAATACAGTCAAACCAAACAATAAAGATGTTATTTAACAACAGCAAACGATACAATCTATCCAAACGTTGTATCCATCAAAACGATACAATACAGTACAGTACATATAATACATTATAAAACGATAGGTAACAATGTTCCAAACAGAGTGTAACTTAAAGAAACTCTACCCCACAAAATACCTTAGTTATCTCAGTCCAAACATTCAAGTTAAAGATTATTTCAATTTTATAATTTTATTACTGAAATTCCACAAGTTATCATGCTTTCTTTTTAGTTTTAGCTAGGACACATAGTCTTTAAAGATTTCTTCTTAAATTTCACATAGTCTTTAAATATTTAGCTAGAATACATAGTCTTTAAAGATTTATTCTTAAATTTCACAAGTTAACATGATCCAAAAAAAATATCTTGAAAAGCTATATATTCTTAAATTCATTCTAGAAGATACAATAGGGTCAGCTAACTAATACTAGCAACTCTTTAAATGATAATTATTGTATATCCCAAAACTATCCTTCTTCTAGCTTTATTTAGTATATGTGAAGTTTTGTAAGACAAAAACATTTCTCAATTTAGGAAAAGGAAAAAATGTAAACAAGTATAATGCTATATAAAATCTTTAAAAAATAGTGATTTACCTTACACAATTGTCATATTTTCTTAAACAATTGTCATAAACAGTTCTAAGGTGTAACTCTTGTTGATGTACACATTTTTTAAGTTTATATTTCTGCGCTTGGTGCTGTTTTTACTTTTTTTCCTTTTTTCCTTTTTTTTCCCGTATAGTGATGTTTACTTATTTTTCCTGATGCATGCGTTATTTTCTTTTTTTAAATACAAAAGGGGTCATAAGCAACACATCTTAGGTGATGGGAAATCTAATTTTCAATTTCTCTTGAACTTACTTTTGTTATGATTATGTAAACATGTGGCATTAAGAGATTTATTGTTAGGTTAGCAGTGCTTCATGAAAATAAATAATTTTTTCATTGATAAACTGAGATTAAGGTAATACTTATTACAAATAATATTACGTTCAAGTCTATTATAACCATTGTTGTTGTTTCCACTTTATTTAAAATCCGAGCATAAAGAAAAAGATTAATTATTTCCATTTTGCCTTATTATTGGTAAGTATTTTCAATATCTTTGCACCAACTATGTACTAATAGAGAGAACATTTGAAGGGGCATTTTATATGTTGAAAAACGTAGTATCAACAATTGCACTACAAAGGGTACGGTAGGAATATTCTAAAATTGTCATGTAAATTAAGTATTATTACAAGAAAATCAAAATAAGGGAGGTAAGTATAATATCTCAAAGGCCAAACACATATACAATTCATTCAACTTGGCACCATTTTTTATTTTGGCACTCTATCTCCACTATGTTCCATTTTGGCCCTCCAACTTTATTTTATGTGTTCCATTTTGGCCCTCCAACTCTATTTCTTATATTCTACTTTAACACAAAAGTTGAAATCAGCGCAAAAAATATAGCGTGTGTGTATACACAAATTTGAGGTGTAATAAATATCTAACTAAATGTTGCTAACTGGTTTTTTCGTCCATGTCAAACTGGTCAATACTAAAATACCCGAATCCGGTCGTATTTTTTCATCTACTACCCCATCTTCATTCTCTAAGTTCCAAAGCTTTCATCTGCCGATATCATACCTGGCCTGTTTAGATGAAATAAACCCACAAAAATATGGTCGGCAGGTATGAAATCGGCAGATGAAAGCTTTGGAACTTAGAGAATGAAGATGGGGCAACAGTGGATGAAAAAATACGGTCGGGTTTGGGTATTTAGTATTGACCTGTTTGAAATGGATAAAAAATCAGGTGGCAACATTTAATTGGATATTTATTACACCTCAGATTTGTGTATACACATGCGCTATATTTTTTGCACTGGTTTCAGCTTTTGTGTTAAAGTGGAACATAAAAGATAGAGTTAGAGGGCCAAAATGGAACATATAAAATAGAGTTGGAGAGCCAAAATGGAACAAGGTAGAAATAAAGTGCCAAAATGAAAAATGGTGCCAACTTGAAGGGGCTGTACATGTATTTGGCCCATCTCAAACCATGATAGAGGTTAGTGCCATGGAGGCAAACGTGGAAAGAGGTAGTCAATTCGTTCAACTAACGTAGGAGTTTAAATTTTTACTAACTACCAAAAAAATATATTTACATAACTAAATCACTAATTAAATAATTATAGATAAATTTTTTAATAAATGATACTCAATTGGTTTAAAATCCACTAATAGTGTTATTATGTGGCTGATGCCGTCTTGTTTTTGGCGTCGGATAACTCAGTTTGTCACCGGCCATAATTTGGTTTTCACCCTCTTGTTTGAATTGGTTCTTGCTTGAGTTTGGGCTTTACTTGGTGGTGAGGTTGTACTATTCATCCTCGTAAGGAATATTCTACTTAGTTGTTTTTATTTTTTTTATGAGACTAACTTTATCCCCAAATAGCTGCAGTTTAAATGTATCATCACTCATCATTAATTTGTCTGATGTCTATCTTACAAAATAACCTTAAAAATCGAAATCAGGATTCAGGAGTCTCGAAGTGATTCTTCTTTAAATTCCATTTTTTTTTTATAGTGGACTATGTTGCGAGGACTCTCCAAAATGTTGCTACACCTGTGTCGGATCCTCCAAAAATACACTACTTTTGGAGGATCCGACACGTATTCGGCGACATTTTTGGAGAGTCGGAGCAACATAGATAGTGGACTACTACGTGTTTAGTAACAATGCTTCCTAGTTCCAATAAATTGGCCCTGGTTAAGTGATGCTTGCTTAGTTGCTTGAGCCTTACTTTAACTATGTATTACTAGTCTTTTGTCTCTGCGCCTAGCAGACAAGAGCCAATAAACTAGTTCTTGTGCTTTTCTCTATTTTTGTGTTTTGATTATTATTTTCTGGTAATAAGGTGTACGAACAAAAGAAAAACATGTAGGTAATCAACCTTAGATCGACGGGATACAAATATTGGGACGCAAAGGTTTTGCTCCCCATGCATCAGCAAATATTTGTGTTATTAAAATAGCATTGAGATCGGCGTGTGCACTGAGATTAACCCAATGATACGTAGTAAGTACATTATCCTAAAATTTTACACTAGCTTTCTAGAGCCATTATACATGTAGAGACAAGATTCAGATAAAAAAAGGCATCACATATCATCCAAGAGTTCTTCTGTGTTGTTCTTTCATTCCTATAAAAAGGCATAGATTATAAATTGGAGTTCCATCCTTTGTCATTAGTGCTATAGTTGCTATGGGCACTGTTTTTCTCCTGAATCTCTCCTTACTTATTGGCTTTTTATCATCCTACGCTTTGTGCATTCAGTTAAGTAAGGCTTTATCATCACTCTTTTTATGTATAGGTTTTCTTTTCTACTTATTGGACATGGACCTACGGGCACATTAGATATGAAACTGCTTTTTTCCTATTAATGGGAATGTTTGATGTGACTCTGCAGAGGACTTAAGATTGGAGAAGGAATTTGCAGCAATGAATATCTCTGATCCCGAGTTCTGTTCAGTAAGAGTCCCTAATGCTTTACTCAGTTTAGATATCTACATTTCCTCTTGGAAACTTTTTCTCTCATGAGTTGTTCTATGTCTTCAAATCAACTTATAGGACTTAACAAATGGTGCTCAATCATTTGGTATTCGTGAAGCTCATAATCAAGCCCTAAATGGTGTTTGCCTTGAAAAAATTGGAAATGGATCTTACATAGGCATGACTCCACACCCTGATGGCTCTAACCGTGTCTTTTTGTGGAATCAACAAGGTAAAATATGGATTGCCAATGTTCCCGAGGGTGAATCTAATGGAGTGTTGGAGCTTGATGAATCCAAGCCCTTTCTAGATATAACTGATCAAGTGCTTTTTGGTAACCAATATGGGGTATTGGGAATGGAATTCCATCCTAATTTTGTGAATAATGGTCGTTTCTTCATTTCATACAATTGTGATAAGTTGCAACACTCAGGATGCTCGGGCAGATGCTCCTGTAACTCGGAAGTTAATTGTGATCCAGCAACACTTCCAGTTGAGAGTGGCATTGAACCATGTCAGTATCAAACTGTGGTAGCAGAGTTCACAGCAAATAGTACTGCATCAACACCTTCATTGGTATACCTCCACGCTTGCCTTATCGCTCTATGAATTTACGGATTTTCTGGATTGAAGTTCCCTTAAAATCCTACTTTGATCATCTTGCTGACAGGCAGAAGTTGCTAGTCCATTAGAAGTGAGGAGGATATTTACAATGGGACTTCCGGATAAGGGAGTTCATGGAGGCCAGATTCTCTTTGGCCCTGCGGATGAGTTTTTGTATGTAATGACTGGAATTGGTACACATCGAGGGGATCCTTACAATTTTGCACAAAACAAGAGATCATTGCTCGGAAAGATCTTGAGGATTGATGTGGATAAAAGTATGCTGATCAAATTGTTGATTGCATGTTTCTTGAATCATAATAGCTGAACTCTGCAACTCTTTTCCTTTTTAGGGCTAACAGGAAAGGAAGTGCATGAGCAAGGGCTTTGGGGAAACTACTCAATACCAAGAGATAATCCGTACAAAAATGACACGCAATTAGCGCCTGAAATCTGGGCGTTGGGTCTTAGAAATCCTTGGCGTTGTAGTTTCGATTCAGAAAGACCTTCCTACTTCCTATGTGGAGATGCTGGACAGGTTAGGAAGTGCACTATCTCTTACAAGCATAGTCATTACTTATATGATTATAGTAGTTCAGGGAAATTTTGATAAATTCAATCAAAAAAATCATAACAGATTAGGGACATTCAGTCAGTTTCTTGGAACAAGATCTTCATCCTGCTGCATAGATATGCATGTGAATATTTTTATCCAGTATTCTTTACAAGAAACCACATATGCTGGATATTCAGTTACCTTCAAGCTAGACAAGATTTTTCTACATGTGCCTAAATTAATTCAAAAGGCTCAGGCCTCTGAAAGCTTTAGTAATATTGGAAAGAATTTCTTCACCAGAAGGCATTGGCTTCACTTCTTAATCTGATGCTGTTCTTAATTGAAACTCTAAAAACCAGTGGTCGATTGTTAGCCTGTGCGTGATCCAGCATTATCTGCACCTATTGAAGTCACTATCTCCCTTCCTTAATCTTACAGGATCAGTACGAAGAGATTGACATGATAACAAAGGGCGGAAACTATGGGTGGTCCATCTACGAAGGCCCGTATACCTACAAACCAAGCAATGCCACAAAAGGAAGCACTTTTTCTAGCTCCAATAGTCTCATATTCCCAGTCATGGGATATAACCACTCTGAAGCTGATAAGAATATTGGTTCGGCGTCCATAACTGGTGGCTACTTCTACAGGTCTCAAACTGATCCTTGTCTTTATGGAAGGTTTGCATCTTTTTCTCTGCTAACACTGATGTATACTGTTTCATTAATTAGCTCGGCCTGATTTTGAATCAAACTTTCAGGTACTTGTACATAGACTTATATCCAGATGGAATATGGTCAGGTACTGAAAATCCTGAAAATAGTAGAAATTTCACTAGTTCAAAAATTCCATACAGGTGCGCACATGATTCTCCAATACATTGTGAATCTATAGCAGAGGATGTTGTGCCTGCTATAGGATACGTTGTATCCTTAGGGGAAGACAATAAAAAAGACATTCATATACTCACAACCACTGGCGTCTACAGAGTTACACGTTCAAGTAGGTGTAATTACCATTGTCCCAAAGAAAAAATTGTAGCTAGTAAACCACCACCTTCTCCTCCTGTTTCTTTATCTGCAAAATTATGCGAGAGTGCGAAACTCTTTGCTCTTCTAATTTCTTCCATGATGCTGCTTTTGTTGAATCTTGTGTAATGGGATATGCAACTTCTTATCATTAATAATTACCCAACAAATAGCGAATGCAATCATTCTTTTTCATATTTTTTTTCATTAAATCTCTTTAATTATCTCTTTAATATTGAAGATCAGCTCAACTAATAGTTGTAAAAAAGTAAGCTGACTTTATTTAAGACGAAAAAAATTAGGTTTTTATTTCCCTCTGTTTGCTAGAAAGAACTCTTTTCTTTTCCTTTTCTTTCCAACACCCAAAACAGCAAAATAAACATGCTTCAATGAAGATTTGTTCATAGTTACATTTATGAATGCTAAAACCAACTTGCAGAAATACTTTTTGGGAAAGAAAGAAAAAGATATTAGAAAAAGAAGGAACCGTATGCACCTTACGAATGAGATTTCAAACTAGATATATAAGAGTTCAAAGAAGGTAAATACTTGCCCGCACTCGATCGGGGTTTAACAATTGAGCATATATTTTTAGCCGCTCCAAAAAATATATTTTGTATCTTGTTATTTACAATTTAACCGTGGGCCATCATGGAGAAATTTATCTTATTTTTTTGGTTAAATCATGGAGAAATTTAACTTGGATTAGGTCATGAATGACATACTGAAAAAAGAAATATAAATAACTTTCAAATTATTAATTATTGGAGCATGTCGGATTCCTCCAATAGGAGCCAACATTGTTAACAGATGGAAATTAAGATTAAACTATTGCAAGGAAGCACACTCGACCACAACTCTCAAATAAAAATTCCAAAGTTCACTGTTACATATTTTTTAGTATAAGATATTAATAACGTAAAACGCGTTACATTAAATGTACATTGGATAAGGTTTCTGGAAAAAATGAAAGAAGTTTACTGTCAGGGATTCGGGATAATAAGCTTTATTAGCCACTCGCTTCATACTTAATAGGAGTCCGAAACCTAAATGTCAATATTTTGGATTCACGCTTCTACAGCGTAAAAAAAAAGTTACTTTTCTATATTTACTTTAACGGGGTTTTAGCAGTTAAAGTAAAGCGCGGTATTATACCGCGTTTTACTTCTTTCTGGGCCCACCAATAAGTGTCCTGCGGTTATCTGACATAACAATAATTCAAATATATAAAGCGCGATATTATACCGCGTTTTATATCAAAATATTCTGCCCCCGAGCTAGGACTTGCCTTATTTAAAGGCGTTAGGATTTTATGAAAATCCATTCAAAACTTACCTTCAAACTTCAGTTCAAACTTTTCTTCTTGTTATCAAGCATTTTTTATAATGTCTGAAGAGCCAAAAATAAGGGTTTCATTATATTGGGGGGGGGGGGGGGGGGGTGGAGGTTGTAGCGGAGAATAACTCTGTGAGGTATAGTTTATCTCCACAGTGTCATGTTAAATTGATGCTTACAATGGAGTACGATAAATTGGTATCGTTGATATGTAAAAGAATAAGTTTGAGAAAACGTTCGGTGAACCTTAAAGTAACCGGTAGATATCCGTATTCTGTGACTCCGCATGGGTTTGCTTTTTATTCTGAGTTTAACATCGAAGATGATGAAACTCTTAGAGATTTTTTGCGGATTCCGGATGAATACAGACAATTTATTGTGATCAAATTGTTGGAAATGTACGTCAAGGTTGAAGACGTTCCCAATAATGAGGTTGTGCATAGTAGGGATAACCCCCAGTCATCGGGTGGTTATTCTGGAGCAGTTTTTGCCAGACAGATTCCTGATAAAAGAGTTTGCCTTGATTTAAACTTATCACCACCGGCGAATGAGCAGCGAGGAAATAATTTCTTGACTTTACATAATCCATATGACGACTGGTAAACTTCAATTTTTCTACGCTTTAACGATGTTTAATTTATGTTGAATTTGATTTGTATTAACACTCATATTTTCCACAGGGGGTACCGTCCGGATATGAATTTTACAAGTTATGACCCTGCTCCTAGTTATATGCGTAGTTCTGGCGTGTTAGATCACGGTGGTCCATCCGGGAGTCATCACCAACAAGAAAATGTCCATCATGGAATGTCAACACAGGACGACTTGTAAGTGAAGTGATATAGCTATATGTAAAGTATTTATCAATTTGAGTAGCTTATCATTTTGTTCTTTTTGTGCAGTAAAAACGAGCAACTTGATGTTCCTGACCTCACACAGTTGCCCGTAGACGACATATTGGCTCGTGATTTGGCAGATGCTCAGAGTCAGTAAGATGATAGTGATTATGACAACAATGCCGATGAGTCTGGAGATAAGACACCCTTCCTTGACGAGGGTGATGAGGAGGAGGAAGTGAATGTCGAACCTGAGCTGACGAAGGAGCATGCTCCTCCACCTCCCGTTAGACCAAGAGTGTACGAGTCCCACGTGCCGTTTCATGAGCGGAATATTCCCTACCTTGATAATTTGTCCAGTATGCCGGATGTGGATGCCCTCACAAGGGATCTTTACGAAGTTCGGTCGGCAATGTGGGATGAGTCTAGACCAACGGTGCTGGCAAAGGGCATGTATTTTTCCGATAAAGCTCGCCTAATCAGGGTTGTAAAAATCTACAGCGTAAGAGAGTGCTGTGAGATGACGGTAAGGGAGTCAACTCCGGAGGTATACAAGGCTGCATGCCGTAGAGACTTTATGGGTTGTAACTGGATGTTCCGTGCGAGCAAGTAGAAATCAGGGTTGTGGAAAGTGGGTAAATATATTAGCACCCATAGATGTGAAATGGACACATTCAATGAGAATCACTTCAACTTGGATGTAGACTTCATTTCTCTTGTCTTGATTCCATACTTGGAAGTGTCCATTAGGTTCAAGATCAAGAAGTGTATTACAGTCGTCCACCAGGAATATGGGTGTACTATAACAAAAAGAAAGGCATATCTCGGGCGCAAACGTGCTTTTGAAATTATTTATGGTGACTGGGATAAGTCATTTTCATCTCCACCCAGGTACATGGCCGCACTGAAACACTTTAACCCCGGGACTGTTGTTGAATGGAGGCATGAGCGGAGTCCGGGAAGACCGGAATATATTTTCAACTATGTGTTCTGGTCATTTAAACCAGCAATTGATGGTTTTGTGCATTGTTGTCCGGTAATTTCCATAGACGGTACTCATGTCTATGGAAAGTATGATATTAAGCTTTTGATCGCAGTTGCAGTAGATGCCAACGGACAAATATTTCGACTAGCTTTTGCCATTTGTGCCAATGAAAGCGAAGAGACATGGACGCTTTTTTTGAACCAGTTGAAGCAGCACGTTGTCAAACAGCATTTAGGTATTCGTCTAATATTTGATCGGCATGGTGGTATTTTAAGTTCTGTACGGCATTTTCCTAAATGGCAGGAACCCTATGCATACCACCGTTACTGTGTGAGGTACCTGAAGGCTAATTTCCAGAAGAAATATCCCGGCAAGGCCTTGCATGATTTAATGTGGTTGGCTGCAACTGAGCACCAGCAGTGCAAATTCACGAGACGCATGGAAGCGATCCGGTAGTTAGATCTACGAGCCTATACTTGGCTGATGGGACATGAGCTTCACAAGTGGACATTGCATGCTGATGGTGGCAGACGACGGGGAGCCTTGACTACAAATGTGTCGGATTCATTCAACGGCTTATTGAAGTCTACACGTGGATTGCCTGTCACTGCCATGGTCCGGATGACATTCAAACAGATTGCGGAGAGGTTAGTTGAAAGGCATAGAGCTGCATCGGAATTGATGGATAGGGGTGTTCAATTTATGCCAATACCGATGAGAAGATTTGAGAAATACAAGAGGCGAGCACATTGGCATTCATATTTGCAGTACGATCACGACCGGGGTGTTTTTGAAGTTCGCACCGCTATCCGCGGACACCGGGGGAATAATCTACACACCGTGAATGAAGCCAGCAGGTTGTGTTCATGTGGGAAATGGACCATCTACCACATGTCGTGCGCACATGCCATGAAGTGCTTTCAGCAAGTTGGTTTAGGGGCAACCAATTATGTTGATAGGCAATACAGTGTTGCTGCATACGTAAACACATATAGTGGGCAGTTGCAGCCATTGGGTGCTGAGCATTATTGGCCGCCGAACCATTTAAAATGTTGTGTAACAAGTACTATTTGCGCAAGCTGCAAGTACAAAAGAGAATGCGTATACGGAACCAAATGGATGTTGGTGATACCGTTTATGCGCGTAAATGTGGCATATGCTCGCAAACAGGACACGACCGTCATAAATGTCCTTCACCTGGTCTGGGTGGCGGTGGTAATCCAGCTCCTGGTGCAAGTTCGTCGAATGTACCCAACTATCAAGGATACACCTAGTGTTTTGTTTTTGTAATGTTTTGTGTAATAAGTATCTGTACTTGTTTGTGTTGCAATATCTATCAAATAAAATTATGTTCCACAGTCTTGTTACATCTTATTTTTTAACATGACATTTTGAATTGGGATGATGATATGATAGTTCCAACATTCAACTTATTGGTGTTAGTAAAGAAGACCAAACTGAAGATTGAAATTTTATAACATAATATTCGAAGAGATAAAATCACAACAACCATAACTAAAGCAACATACATGGAAATAAAAGATAATAAAGGATAAATCAAGACAAAGCTGTTTCGTTTTAGAAAAATTGAATATGTATAGCGGTGTACAATATTACGTTATGTGTGTTGTCGTGTCGGTCTGAAAAGCTGACCGACTGCGAAAAAGCTATTTCGTTTCAGAAAAATTGAATATGTAAAGCGCGGTACAATACTACGTTTTGTGTGTTGCTTGTCGGTCTGAAAAGCTAGACCGACGTGTAGAAAAGTCTGTTTCGTTACAGAAAAATTGAATATGTATNAGTAAGCTACCCAATTTACCCTTTGGAGCCCCTGAAAATTACCTCTGGGGCCAGGCAGCAAAATGGGTCAAACTGACCCAATTACTAAGTCAGACCTGGGCTCCAAACAAACAATTCGAATCACTTCAGATTGGGCTTTCTAATTTATCATTGAAAACCAAAAGAACTCTTGA